TTGGAGCAGTCCAGGCATCTGAGGACATAGGCAGCAGTAGTGGGAAAGGAGAAGGAGCTGGAGAATCACAGCATCTAGGAATCATAACCCTGTGCAACCTGTGGATTCCAGATTAAATAAACATTAGGGGACTAAGTCAAAAGGCTTAGGTGAGGGCAGCTAAAGAGGTGGTGTACAGGCTGCGCCAGGGATGTCAGCTTCCCTCTGCCCAGCCTATAGCCCTGAGTCAGCTCAATCTATCATGTAGGAGGCCTAAGGACATTGAATATGACTTGGGAAAAAGGGCATTAAAACAAATAGTCTGCACTTCTCTTGTTTCCAGCTCTCCAGCATGGAAAACTGATGCTACAAAGAGCTAGGCAAAACGGAATGTAGGCGGTTCTGAGCTCAGCTCAAAGGACCCTCCTCTACTGAAAGGTTCACTTCCCATGGGAGAGGATGCTATGATGTGAGGGTTGTCACACTCAAGGTTTTCCGTCCAAGCCTCACCTCCTCTATTAAATCTGTTCCCCAACTCCCCTTTAGGTAGAACTGACCTGCTTTCTGCCCTGCATACACGTACCACAGATGGATTCTCTCCTGAAACCTAGAGTGCCACAATGCCCTGCTACTAACCTGCTTCCTTCTCCAGCCCCAAACCTCCCCAAGAGTAGTAGATGCTGTGGCTCCCATGTTCCCAGGGTCTTTCTAGCCTGAACACTATGATTTTACTCTCTGAAATACTTTTCTCACCTAATTCATCAGCTTTACATCCAGAAACAGATTTACAGTCACAAGGGATGTAACCTGGGTTCCAGAGGGCTGAATCCAGTCCATCCATAGGGCCCTACTATCCACTGGGCCACCAGTATTGTGGATTTATCACCCATTTTCCAGAACAGCAAAATGCCTTGTTTTAAAAAGAAATAGTAAGACAGTTTTCTAAAAGAAGGAAATAAAGTGACTTGAGAAAGAAACACATTTTTCTAACTGGCACAAAAGCTCTGTATAGCCTAGTCATGGTCCTATCCATATACAGTTTTTAGTTGGTCAAAGTAACTTTAAAAACTGAATTAAAGTGGCTTTAGGCAGGGCACATGCTCTCCAGTTTGTCAATCCCCACCACTCTCTATGATCTTACATTTTTAACCTCTGTTACATATATTTATTTACCACCTAGCCCCCGAAGGCTTGTAAGTTTGCAACACTGCAACATGATACGAAACTCATAAAGCAATTCCTTCCATCTTTGGGAAGCAAATGTTTTCAAGGTTCTTTATTAGGCTGAATGAAAATCTTCCCATAGCCTCTCTCTACCCCTCCTATTTCTGGGGTACTATAGGTCCTATAGCACAAATAGAATCTTTTTCTAAAGCACATTCTCTTACTTTGAAGTCTATCAGCAGAGTCTGTGTGAGGCCTTCTCTTTTCCATACTAAACATACTGTCTTCCTTCAACTATTTCCTATGACATGGAAGCCCTTTACTATCATCTGAATGTGACTTATTATCCTCTTTAAAGAGAGGCATCCATACAGGCATGGTCTAATCCTTTGCAATTCAAAGTGTAATGCAAAAGCCGGGAGCATTTGTATCACTTGGGAGCCTATTATAAATGCATAACCTCAGACCCACCCCACACCTACTGAATCAAGATCCACAAGTGATTCATATGCATACACCTAATTAATGTAGGCTAAGATTATGCTAGCTTGTGAGAGCAATTGTGTTACAGTGTCAACCCTGTTTCCTGTTATTTGAAATTCCTGTTTTTATCCCCCACACTCACTGCTAAGCTACATCTTCTTATATTAGTTTGATTGCAGCATGTAACAATCTGATTACATTTTGATGAATTACCCACATGCTTAGACTATGAATTTCTGGGCAAGACAGATCATATTCATCTCTGTTTTCCTAGTACATAATAGGTGCTAATATAAGAAGTAACCAAAAAATAACACCAAATGATAAAAACAAAAAATTAACTCTCTGCTAAACAGTTCAAGGCATGGCTGGATCCAGGGCTCAAAGATGGTGACAGGGACTTGGATCATTGCCACTTTCCACCTCTGCTTTCTTGGCATCAGCGCCATCCTTGGTAGAGCTCTCCTTCTGTGGCCTCAAGATGGCTGCCAGTGTCACTCAGAGCCACATCCTTTCTCATTCCAGTCCAGCTGGCAAAGAGTCTTCTGAAAACTTTTAGGGTAAAACATTTCTTCTTACCTTTTTCAGAAACCTTAGCAAACGTTCCTTCCAGTTTCATTAGCTATGATGGCGTTATCAGTTCATTTTGCCTATGAGGCGAGGGGGTTTAATATTCTAATGGGTTTAAGCCAGTAAGGATCCACTCATGAGGAGGTAGAAGCAGTTGAAAATGGAGGGGGGTGCTCTATCAGGAAATTAGGAAACTGTTGTGAGAGGCGACGTGTGTGCTGGGGAAGCGACCCATGGATGTCTACCGTAGTGTTGAACAGGTCTGCATTTCAGTTTCCTTTGAATCTTGCAACTGTTGTTCAGGATATCCAAGATTACAGCAACCACTAGCACAGGTTATGGCCAGAAAACTTTGCTATTTTTAAATGACACACAAACTGTTACGCTCCATCACATTGTTTCAGTGACCAACATTAAAGGACCCTCCTCCCGGAATAATAAAGCAGTCCACAGGAGTTCTTTGGGCCACTCCAAAAACCACTCCAGAGTGGTTGGCCACACATAATAGAGGGTGCACTTGAAAGGCAGCATCCAATGACCAGTTCTGGTTGAAGACTTTTGTGTTTTTCAAAAGCTCGATAAGCTGCAGAAGTGACCACAATGTGTTTGAAACTTTATAGCATGTGTCTTCAGGAGACAAAGTGCCTAAAACTAGATGGAAAGACTTGTAATTTTTTAAATTAAAAACTGTACACAGGAGAGGTTAACAAAGTAAAATAAGCATGAATCCTACATTTTTGTTTCAAAAATAAAACCCGAGGTATGGGGAAAATTGTAATATGGAATTCAGAAATCTGTTTTGGCCATATGCTGTACTGCATATGCTTTCCTTGAGCCAAAAGGCTCTCAACGACCAGTCATGCTTAGCTGAGAGAGACATAAAGCCAAAGAGACTGAAGGCAGGCAGGAGGGAATAGAGGGGCAATCCCTGTTTCATCCGAGGGATCCGAGGGCAAACTTACCACTATCAGCCCCTGTGGACACATACTACTGCTCAAGGTAGTCACTGTGCGAGGGAAGATGGACCACAGAGGCCCACTGCCACTTCTCAAAAGAACAGCTTACACTAAGATCTATTTAACTCTCAGGAAGGGCATCAGTTATGTGATCTTCACAAATGAAAGGGAACTAAAAACTACCAGCCTAGTCCATTCTGTCACAGAAACACTTTGTGGAGGCCCTGGCTCTACCCCTTACTGAAGGAAGGCCTTTTGTATAATCACTTAGTCTCAGCTTCACTTTCCTCTATGAGAGGAGGCAATTCCCCTGTCATAGATGGGTGCGAAAATAAAACAGTCCATGTAACAAAGGCCTAGAAATGTCTAGGACAAAAAATGCCTACCAACGTCATTTTCTTCCCTACCCCCTGCTCAGTACCATTCAGTGCTCTAAGTTTATAAACACACCACTAAAAAAATTTGGTCTCATAGACCTTTTGCAATTTCTCTCTGAAATTGCAAAGTGAAATTCGTATATATGTGTTAAGTCATACTTTATTGTACTGTAGTAAGTGTATTGGGAGGAAAAAATTTTTTTGAAAACGCTTCAGTTTTCACATAGATGGAGGTAAAATCAACACAAGAGGACCAAAAGGAGCATGGCCTCACCTTTAACTAAATATAAAGCCTTGGACAAGTTTAGTTTAGTAGAAGTCTTCACTCAATCACAGCTTTTAAAACAGCAGCAACAACAACAAACATCTCTCCCACTAGACTGTAAACTCCTCAAGGGTTGAGATCTCATTTATTTAACTTTATATTCTACTAACATCCTTAGTCAACTGGCCTTCACATATCAGGAAGATAAGCTGCAATCGCTTGAAGGGCTTATCAACAGAAGGGCTGACAAGTCTGCTAAATTGTTATAAAATGAAAAATATAAAAATCAAAGTAGAAAGAGGTTGGACCCACTAACAAGTAGAGTCACAATTTTCAAAATATTTTAATTATTTTCTAAAATTTATTGGCCAGAGACAGATCTAACAAGTCTAGCTCTATGATTCCATGATCTCTGTCAAGTTACTTTTTCTTTCTATACTTCAGTTTCCTTAGCCACATAAGGATGTGAGAAGTTTTCCAAAACCCCTTACAGCTCTAAAATTAGGTGTCCAAATTTCTACACACCTGTTCCAAATCTAAGACAAAGACACACTGCTAGGCACTGTAAGAGACATGAGAGAGAAGAAACCAGAGCTGCCCTTCAATGAACTCATGGATTATTAAACAATAAAAATAGGGGCACAAATTGCAGTGATTCAAGGCAGAAAGCTGGGGAGACAAGGACTGGCTTTTGGAGGGGTGACGGTGACTTTTGTTCCCGCTTCAATGTAGCAAATATGGAGCACCTGTCATGCCAGGCACTGTGTCTTAGCACAAAAAAAAAAAAAAAAAAAAAAACTATGGCCAAGACAAACAGAGTCCTGCCCTCACAGAACCTAAAGGTTGGCTGGCAAGAGGTAGACATCTGGAGAAAGGGGAGGAATTCCCAGCAGAGGACCTATTGAGCAAAAACAGGAAAGCAGAGCATCACAAAGCAAATAGGAATGAGTCCATAGCTCTGTTTGCAGACAAGTAGTGATGGTACAGTGGAGTGGGATGAGAAAAGGTAGAAAGGTAAGAGGCAGCTGATATGAAGTCTCTGAAATGCCAAGCTATGGAGTCTAGATTTTAATTGCTCCAACAAAATAACCTCAACTCTAAGTAACTGACTATACGTTAAACAGACAGTCACCTATTTTTTATCCAAATTATACACTGCCTTTCTATAACAAAAAGGAAGATGTTTGAGAGAAAACTGCCAAAAGAAGTAATTTAAATAAATTTATTTGTGAAAGAGAAACTTCTGAACATCAGGTACAGTCTGATCCACAATGTCATAACTCATTCTTGGGAGTACTCTTATGCAGTTTGGAAGAGAAATTCCATGTGGAAGATCAGCGGGACATTTAAAGCCATGAAACCTGAGTATTATACAATACATAATGACAAGGATACAGTAATAAAAATACAATATCAAATACTACTTTGTGAGTTACAAACTACAATATAAACAATTTATGCCCCTTTTTAAAAAATGAAAAAATATTTCTATTACAGCCTCATTTCAAGCATTTTCTGTTAGATACAGCTTTATATATTTTTACTCACAATAGATAGCAAAAGAATGTTTTCATAAGTATCTGTAGGTAAAATATATTACTTGCTTAATGTTTACACTCTGAAGTATACTTTGACACATACGAGTTCAGATAAGAGAATGAAACTGCTGTGGCAAAATCCTGGCTGATGATCAAGATTTGAGTAGTTTTCCTATTAAGTTAAAAAAATTTACATCACTGAAAAAAGAAGCAAGGACATATAAAGAAGCAACATCATTCTTTCTCAACGAAGCAGTCTAATTCCAGGGAATGGGTTTTCCATTTTGAATTCAAAGTGTGTGGTCCCAAAGTTGAATTCTTTCAAATCCAAGGAGCTGCCTGCCACTGTGAGGCAACAGCAATGACGAAGCAAGTTGGGAGGAAAGTGTTAACTGAACTACAGAGATGGTCACTGATAAAACAAGTTCCTAGAAATCCTCCGGCCCACCCAGAGGTGAAGGGCAGCCAGAACTATCAACAGAAAAGAAAAATGTGCTCACTGAACTGCACACATAGAGCTTCTAGGAGGGTTAACAGTTCTTGACATAGGTTCCTGGTTGTAGTTTACAATATCTGCCTTCACCACTCTCTGTCATAAAAGAAAACACAGTTATTATCAGGACATCAGGACATTTAGAAAGAGCTCCTTAAAGTATATTTTTATTTTCTGAACTTTGCTGAACTTCTGATGATGGACACCATAAATGAAGCAGGAGTTGATATAAAATAAACCAGACAAACAAATGAAGAGTGGATTTTTTTTTCCAAGGAGAGAATGGCAACTCAGCTATTGAGTTGTCCCTGGTTTTATGACATTAACTTGAGGTTATCACAAGTCTGATGAAAACTTCACAAATCAATAATGAAAAATTAAACCCTGATAATGATTTAAAGCAAAAGAATTTAAATGAATCATTCACACATATTTGAAATCATAGAAAAGAACTCATCATTTCAAAGTAAAAAATATCATTATTGATTAATATTTCCATAAGCCATTATATTTAGCCGTAACTTTGTTTACAGCAGTTTGTGAGTTTGTAAGAAAACATTTAAATGTTAAAGAGGATTCATATATAAAACAGAAATGCTCTCAGTAACCCATTTTTAAATCTTTTCCAATTTCTAAAACTTTCCTCCAAAATCCCTAACTTATTTCCAAATGGCTCACTAACGGTTATGAATACAACTTTAACAAAATACGGTATAATGAAAAATTTAGAAAATTACTTCATGTTTTTACAATAATTTAAACCAAAAGATACTTTCTTCCCTCCTTCCTTCTACTACTTCAAGGAATATCTAAAATGATACATTTAGCAATATGCTTACTATTCGTCTCTCAGTAATACTTTAAAACAAATCCTTTACTGTTTTCAACTCTTTTACGAGGTCTGCACACACAAGCAGACAAAGAAGGGCATTTCAAGGCAAATTTTAAAAATACTCTTTCAATTACCAAGCTATTTCAGGAAAAATGGTAAGGAATCAATAATGAAATAACTGCCTCAATTCTCCACTTCACTGCACATGTAATAAACACAACCATAAAGACAAATATATTTAAAAGTAACTGAAATGTTATTTTAATTTGTTCCCAATTTCTTAATTCATGTCTCTTGGCAGGGGACCAATTTTTTAGTTCTAAATCAAGACTTATGCAATATTAATTTCCAATAATGTACAATAATCATCTGAACTTCCCTGCTCATAAGGAATAAAGAACAAGATAGCATTCACTGGTTCTCCCATCCCACCTCCCTTAATTGTAATAATTTATCCCTTAATACCTGCACTACTGTACTGAACAGATTCTACTCTGAGCAGAGCTGGTATGTTGATTATCTTCTTCCGGGTACTTCACAATTTCTGCCCTGACAATACGCTGTCAATTCCATACAACATAATTGAGACAAAGAAGAAAGAATTAAAAAAAAAAAAGACAAAATGGAAAGTATGTTCAATGACTGAACAGAGAAGGAAACACCAAAGTAGAAAAATCAAATTAACATATAAATGTAAACATGTCACACAGACACACACACACAAACAGCAGGATGTACACATACAAAAAGAAAGAAAAGGAACAAAGACCCAAGAAACACTATTTTTTATAACTCTATAATTACTGAAATAGATATGACCACTGAACTTCCCAAACTGTGAGTTCTATTTTTTGATAATACAATTATATCTAACATATATAATGCCCAGTATTTCAGAGGACTATGAAAAATTATGAGGTTTTTCTATGTTAAAGTACAATAAAAAGATTAATTCCATTTCCATTAACAAGCTTTACCCAAGATCTATGTGCCAGTCGCTCTATACTGTGAATGTGCGGGCGACTTACACAGGATCTATTCACAAGTTGCTGAGGACCTAATGGAAAGAGAAACACATATACAACTAATTCCCATACAAGTTAAACACTTAACTAGTGGACTTATAATATGCTATGGGAACACAGAGGAAGGAGTAATTAATTATCTTTGAAGGTGGGGAGAGGAATGAAGACATCAGAGGAAGTCATATGCCATTTACAGTGTTTATGTTGAATAGTATTTATTACTTGTCCAAGACTTCCTTGTGATGCTCACTCCCCCATTCCTCCCAATCTTAACCCCCATACTTCCAAATTCCATATAGAAACAAACAAGTTCAAAATGCAGTTGTAGGTCATGTAAAAAAAAAAATACATGAGGTACAACATGTAAGTACAACAGCTGTTGCTTTCAAATATCTAATAGTTTTACTAAATACAAAATTACTTGTTATTACATTGTTATATTCTTAATTGCTATTACCCTTAGGATAAAAAAGATCACAGGGGACAAATACATTTGATAAAGATAACATGCTACCCAAATATTTTAGATTTAAAACCAAATTTTAGATTTAAAACTATCCTCACTATCCATGTGATTTCAAATATCTTATTTCAGGACACTCATCTTTCATAATAGCATCTATTAATTTATTAAGATAGACCGAAAAGCATCTTAATATGAGCTGCTGTCTGTGATTACATTTATAAATAAAGATTCTATAAAGAACTGAGAGTAAATGAATAGGATGCTGAAGCATACATTAGCCTTGGGTGGCTTCTGTTTAAGTTCTCTAGGAATAAGCAGCATTAACTTTTGGACAAGACTCATGATTTACTAGGCACTCAGCCTGATGCTATCAACAGAAGCATTACCAACTAACAAATGAGGTATGAGCTAGGGGGGTACGTCAGTGAAATATTGTATACCATTATCTAACAAACCTAATTGTTTCATGCCAAACTATGGGTTACAATGAAGAGATGGGGTTTTCAGAATCAGTAAGCAATTCATTAATCCAACCAAATGTTGGTTTAAGTCTTATCCCATAAATACAACCAAATTACTTTCCTGTGCTCGAGACATTTTGATCCAAGTACTGACTAACGTAAATGACTTGGATTTCATTATTAATTTTAATCAAATTAATGAAGAATTAACAAGACAGCATCTCTCTCAGGAGCTTTGTCTATTTGACATAAAGCTTTGTAAAATGTTTCCTAAAAGTAACCCGTAACCAAAGCTCTGCAGATTCCAAATTTCGCTTTCTATGATTAGAAAAACATAATTTCCATGTCATAAACTTCATGGTAGGTGATTTCACTATAGTCAGCTTATTTAAAAGCCATTTATTGATGTTTTTAGAGAAATGTTACCTGCAAAACACCAACCTTTATTTTAAGAGCCACAATGTAAACTCAATTATTCTCTGCTGTTAGTTGATGAAATGAAAATAACAAAGTGGCCCTAAGAGGAAAGGAATCATATGGGTGAACACAAGTTTAAGCCTGATATTTTCAAAGAGCATTTGCCAAATGGATACTGGAAATGGAAGTGGTAGCTATGGAGGGCATAAGCAAAAAACCAACCTATGATTTGGGGCAAAAAGGTGTAAGGTGTATAGATGGGCTCTTGCAGAGATGCTAAAGATAAATTTGGTCAACTGTGCAACTAGACCTTACTCCAGATAATAATAACATATTTAACACTGCAAAAGCCATAGTTTGTCATGCCGAGGATATGGAGTAAACACACCCTGAAGGCTAAAACATCTGTCACTATCATTCATTCAAAGCCAATCACTACCCCAGGTATTGCAAACATTTAGGTAAATAATGCATAATCTCTGTTTTTTGAGATACATAAGAGTCTAGCATAGAAAATAGATGTGTAAACTATTGCAGAATATTCTGAGTGATGTACATTCAAAGTACAACAAGATTATAGAATACAATTTAAAGCATGGCTATAGGATATAATGTTAAAAAGCATAGTACTTTCCACACAGGAGTTTTAAAAAAGCTACTCTTCTTCTGTATAATGAAGGGGCCATTATATGCTGCCAGTAAGAAAACATTGTGCAAGTTATTTACTTCTGTCTTCACAATTTTCTAATCTATAAAAACAAGGTTTACCTACATTATCTCTAAAGTCCCATCTGGTTTTGAAATTTTATAATAAAAAATTAAAAGATGAATAGGAAAAAGAAAAATGGGATGTGATATGAGAATCCCTTAAGCAATGTTCAATACCTGAGAATAGAGTACTACGTACAAAATGAGAAAATATGCTCCTCAAGAAAACAAGTGGTGTTTAGGATAAGAAAGAAATCCCAGTACAGTTTTAATAAACACACTGGGGAAAATGAATGTAAAAAATTAATATCTGGGTAAAAAAAAATCTGAGGAAGATCAATACTCAGGTAAAGCTAAAAAGCAGAAAGGGCTCTTAAGACCAAAGGTTAAATGGGTACTTGCACTGTACAATTATATGCCAGTTAAGACAGCCAAAATCTTGAGCATGTCTATCACATGCCAAGCCCTACGTGAGATACTTTCATATACAGTCTGAAAATAATTTGAGGTGACAATAAGGAATATATATTTTTAGCAAGTTTAACGAATATCTCTGACAGAAATTTTTGTTATTTTAAAAGCTAATACATACCTAGTTCAAACCAGGCTGAAATTCATAGTTTATTAATTGACAAGTAAAAATGGTGATGCTTAAAAATGTATTAAGCTCTTAACACCAAGTACGTATGGCAAAACTTCCTTGCAATTCAGACTAGAGGACGCAAGACAGGACTCAACGGAATAAGCTTTTTCTTTATCGATTATCTAATGCATTCTTAAACAGCTGATTGCTGGATTTCCTAAACAATAGTAGTTGTAAATTTATATTTTCTCCTAAAGTTCTAAGTACTTTGCAAATAGAAAATCTGAACAACCTGGGAAACTAAAACACTTGTTAACAACAGTATCAATTCTTACACTATCTTAGAGGATCAACGGTTGGTCGGGGAGAAAAGGGAAGACTACATAAATGATGCAAATGAAACTATTAACCAAACTGAGAATTGTGAAAGTGGATCTATAGTGTTCATTGTTTAAATGTTTGGCTGCCCCACTTATTCTGGGAGCTCCTTGAGGATAGGGACCTTCTCTTATTCATCTCTGTATCCCCAGATTCTAGTGTTGTCCCTCAAAGTATGTTTACTGTACATTCACTTTCTTTTCTCTCTCTTCCTCTTCCTTGCAAAGCTTGCAAAATGTGTTGATATCTAATTTTATATATAACTCCCAAATAGGAGCAATCTAGGTTAGAAATAAACTACCAGAATCTCTTTAAATAATCAGTGAATGGAACTAGGACTAAAATCTCAAAATATTTATGTCACAAACTAAGTTATTATAGTAGAGCATCAATATCAATGTGACTGGTGAGTCTGCCATTTAACTCCTTCTCTATAAAATAATACAAAGTGTTTTCAAACATTCCCTTGAATTCCTCCAGTAATCTTTCAAATGTTGCAAAAACCACATGCAGAGTGTGTGTGTGTGTGTGTGCACGCGTGTGCATGCTATCTGCACTTCTTGTCTTTTAGTTGAACTTTCAAAAATGTTTCCACTAAGACATATCAATGGTAAAATCAATAATTTAATTGGCAAAAACACCAAATTCATCAGGATCAAGAAATGCTAATGAGGCTTCCTGCTATACACAAAGAATTTTGACAAACATATAGAGGGCTGCGGTAGCTTGAATTCACCTTCAAATGAATGCATTAAGAGTAAATGTCACCGACAAATCAAAGATAGAATTAAACCTCAAAGCATAATAAACAAGGTAGATGGGCAGGGAGGGTAGGGTGTTAACACATCTAATATCTCTTTATTTAAAATATACCAGAATGTTAAGCCCATATCTAAAGTCAAAATAGCAACTCTGTTGATCTTACAACAAGAAGGAGCTAATATTAATAAAGCTTCCCCAAATTTTGCCTTTCAAAAGTATCCAGTTGTTTCATCTCTCCAGCGGTCTCCTATATTTGAGCACCACTGCACAGCTCAGGCAGTATAAGGAATTCTTCGGTGCAGCCCTCTCACCTGTAAAGCACCAGCCCACCATTCCCCGTCTCAGAAAGACCACCAATCACTGGGTTTCCCCTTTCTTCATTCCTCCAGGCAAGAAATCTCAGGGTTATCTTGGACTTCTACTACCTTTTACCACATCATTCCACAAGCCCTATTGGTTCTTCTTTAAAATCTCCCTTATATCCATCCAGTTCTTCCCTTCCACCTTGACTCTGGTCCTTATCACATGGTAGCAGTAACTCAGTCTCCTTACCTCAATCTCCCTCCCATCCAACAACATACAAAAATATCCCATTAGATTACTTCTATCTAAAAACTGCTTTCATTTATTGCCCTACCTCAAAATGATTATGGGTCAAATAAAATTAATCAACTTGGCATTCATAAATCCCCAAAATCTGTTCTCAAACTCTTTATAGTCTGATACAAAAGGTCATTTATTTTAAACAAACTGTTCTGTTTGCAAAATACAACCTAAGCTTTTGTACCCAGGTATATTGTTCATACCAGCTCCTCTTTCAGCCATTTTTTTTCCTTTCACTCCAAACTGCCCAGTATACTTTGCCCTAGTATGGTAGAGTGAAAACACCAAGGGCACTGGTGTCAGAGAGACCTGGGTGTAAATCCTGGCTCCACCATGCCCAACTAAGGGTTAGTGATCAAGTTACTTAACCTCTCCATAGTCTCAGCTTCCTGATCATAAAATGATAAAATTTCACCTGATCCAGAGTTATTATGAGGATTAACTGAGATAAGGCAGTCCCCCTGGCACATAACATATTAATTTTCTTTACTGAAAGCAGGGACATTTTAAAGTCTTTTAATTCTTTTTTAGACCCACCACTATACTGAGTATATAAGGTACGATCAATAAATCACTTATGATAATCACAGATTCTCTAATTAAGCAGAGACAAACATTATTCAGACAGATAAACTAAAAAGGAAAGGAATCACTTGACCTCTGGGAATCCAAGTTCTGTGTGATCAAGCAAATCATGGTGCCTTCTCTTTCTTATATTCTCCTAGACCCAAACCAAGTAACCACTTTTCATGTATCTGGGAGCTAACCAGCACAAAGTATCTTAGTACCATATCTGGCCACAGAAAGTGCTAAAACAAATGTCTTTGAATGATGGGAATTAAAAGTAGCAAATGTTTATAGCCTCAAATATTTTAATCAAGTCCTAGAAACAGCCACATCAGTCTAACAATTTTCAATATTTGCTTTGTTTGGAAACACAGACACACACACACACACACACACACACACACACACACACACACACACACACGGAGGGACCATGAGAATAAGATACAAAACTAACTCTAAAAGAATTAAAGAAAAATTTAAGGATGGAAAAAGGTAATTATACTTTTTAGTTGCACAGGGTAGGAATGGGGTGGAAGAAATTCAGGAAAATTGTAATTAGTTTGTTTTGTCTAACCAAACCACTTCTGAAGCGTAACTTTATAGACTCTTGCTCTGATTTTTCATTCTATCAAACATATAAATTAGTGGGATATTATAGTGGTATTTTAAAGTTCTTGGCTGCTGGTTGCATGTCTTTTTCTTACTGTAAGAGAACTATCTAGGAACAGTGAGAAAACTTAGAAATCCTTACTAATTAATAACGTTATTAAACTGACAACAAAATAACATTAAAAACTAATATAATTACAGTCAAGGATGTTTTAAAAATGAATAGAAGCTCTGAAAAGGATTTAAATAAAAAGGTACAAAACAATATTTTCAGCACCTTAACTCATTAGTTAACCACTAATAAAATTTTCATTATACTAAGTATCTTTTTTCCCAAGAAAAGAGGCACAACGAGGTTTGAAGGGTATCATAATTTGGCAAAAAGTTAACATTCTCCATCTTCTGCAATCAACACTGATTCATGCATACAATCTATGTCCAAAGCTTTTAGAGATACATACACAGAAGGCATAAATGGGAAATAATTTATGGGTCATAATTAATGCTTTGTAAGAAATTCATTAATTTTTTAAATATAAAGTTCAAGGTAATCACCTGTGACTGTTCTAATTCTGCTTTGTTTAATTTGATCCCAAGGATTTCAGCAGCAACTTTCTGAAAGCACAGGAAGACCTACATAACAAAAACAGGTTTAAATGATGTCAAAGAGGCATGCTTAAGTTATCTTCAAATAAACAGAATTTTCTTAAAAATGATAGACAGTAATAATTGTAAAAATATGATGTAGCAAGTGATTCCAAAAATAGCTTTGTCAAATGTAGCATCATTTTAAATATAATAATTTTTAAATTATTAATCCATAATTTAAAACTCCATGCAATTCAATGAATTGATCATTTTCTCTAAACACATACATTAAAGATTTAGCATGATGATTACAGCTACCACTTTAAAAAACTACAAAACAACATACTCACTAGTATAAAAACTCCATAATTCCTGGAGAAAATAAAACAATCTATACTTTACTACCCTAGTTTTTCACCACCGATTTTATGTTGGTCATTTTAGCCACCTTTAGCCTATCTTAAAGGGTCTTAACTTGCCAACACTCTAACAATCTCTGTGGCCTTTCATATCATTCCAACAAATTCTCCATGTATCTTGAGTAAAGCAACTTGGTACTCTTTACTATATTTTGTCAGTTTAAAGAAAAATTATATTCCATTATGATTAAACAAAAATTGGCAAATATTTTTCTATATGCCTTTCCACACATAGTTAGCTTATGCCAGGTCTACTATGATTACTAGAGTTCCAATCCTGACATTCACTGTAGTATAACTTATATTTTCTTTATAAATGACCTACCATATTCTTATCCCTACTCATGACATTATTTACAAAATATTTATCAAAACTTTATTCATATTTATTTCTAACAAAAAAGGGATAAATATTCCTGATAGCTTTATGCCATCTGTACACTAAGAAGCATAATATATTTTAGTTCACTGATGGTCAATGTTCAAGGAACAACAGGAAAGGTACTGTGTTGGAGTGGAGAAAAAGTGTGGTTATAAAAGATAAACAAAGAGATGAAGGCAGTACAAAGCATGTAGAACCTGGTAGGCTACTAGAAGGACTTTGGCATTTATTCCAAATGAAATGGAAGGCATAGGAGGGCGGCCTAATGTGACTTTTAACAGCATTAGTCTGGTTGTTTGTATTGAGCATTCACTATAGGAGACTAACTATACAAAAAAAGAAATCAATCAAGTAAACTAATGTAAAAGGTTATGAAGGCTGAACCAAAATGGTAGAAGTGGACACAGTAAGAAACAGCAGGTTCTGGGTATATTTTCAAAGTACAGCCAAAGGGACTTGTTGACAGATGTGGGGTGAGAGAGAAACAGAGAAGTCAAAATTGGCTTCAAAACTTTTTGGTCTGAGCAACTGGTAGGATATATCTGCTATTTACAACAGTGAGGAAGACTGTGAGAGATTTGAGGAGAGAATATCAAAAGCTCAGTCCTAAACATGTTAAATTGGGCAGCCTGTTAGACATCTAAGTGGAGATCTTGAGCAGGCAGTTAGATATAAGAGTCTGGAGTTCAGGGGGAAAAGTCTGGGCAAAGCCAGAAGACTAAATAGAGCCACTAAGTGAATAAGTGTAGAAAAAGAGAAACCTAAGGACTGAACCTGAGCTGGGTGGAGAGATGAGAAAATTAGCAAAGGAGACTGATAGAGTAGTGAGCGAGTAGGAAAAAAAACAGGAGGTGTTGTATCCTGGAAGCTAAATGCAGAGAGTATTTCAAAGAGAAGAGAGTGAGCAGCAATTACATATGTTGCTACTTAATCAAATAGATGAGGGCTGAGTACTGACCATCGGATTCAGCAAAAAGGAGGCCACTGATGACCTGGATAATAGTAGTTTGAATAAAATACTGAGGCAAAAGTCTGCTGGAACTGTTAAAGAGAAATTTGGAAAAGAAGAACTAGAGACAACTCTTTCAAAACATCCCACTGGAAAATGAAGGAAGGAAATAAGGCAACAGCTAGAAAAAAAATGAGGGATCAAGAGTTTTCTTGTTTTTATGATAAAAGAAGTCATAATATTTCGTATGGTGAAAGAATAATCCAGTAGATGGGAAAAATAATACACACGAAAGAGAGAGAAGTGATAAAGTAATATTCTTGATTCAGCAAATTATTCTCCTGGCCCTAGCTGGGAGAATAAATCCCATAGTAACCACAGAGAAGACAGACGGTATGAGAACACATGGGGTAAGTAGGATGAGGTTAGACCTGGTAGCAGCAGCATGTAGAAGTTGTCTCCTGTTTCTTTCAAATTTCTTATAGGAAACAAGGTTATCAGCTGAGAGAAGAGAGGAGGATGGTTTGAACATTTGAAGAAGAGAAGCTATGAAATAGTCATCTAGGTGAGGGAAGAGGTGACAGATTAGGGATATAGGGCATAATTACTGAGCAGCATTAAGGGCCCACTTGAGATTAGTGATTGTGAACTTAAAGTGAAACCTCCAGCATCCCTCTGTGTTTTTTTCTGGTCATCTTCATGGGTACAGCCATGAAAAGTGGAGGCTTGGTTTAAACCAGAATTAACATTTAGCCAAGTGAATCTGACAAAGTGAAAGAGAGAAAAGGGAATTGAGAGTATACACATAGCAATGATTTGGACTGGCCATGAGATTTAAGTTCAGAAGGGAGAAAAATGAAGACATGAAAAGAGGTTAAGATTTTGCAAAAGTGTTATGATCAATGTTTGTAGGTCTTGCTACGGTTGCGAATGGTTGTCTTGGGCAGTCAAGGGTGTGAAACAGAAGATGGTTGGTGGTGATTAGGATGCCTGATATTGAGATAATAGAAGAGCCACAGTAATTTGTAATGACAAGATCTGTAGTACGCGAGAGTGGCTAAGGTGGAGTCAGAGAGAAACAAGGACACTGAAATCACTAAGAATTATGACAGAGGTAATATCAGAGAAAGTGTAGTAAAGCAGGAGCTCAACTAACTCCTCAAGCAATGAGAGGAAGTTACCTGGAGCTGGAGATGATTACAAGTCTTAAGGTATTGTCATACAAACCATTTCAAAGTACTACTTGAAAAAAATAAAGGGGCTTTTTTTTTTTTTAACACAATAATTTATTAATTGAGACCCTCCTCTCCCTGCCCTTGCAGTCTCTAGGTCACTTTTTCTGCTTGTAGATTTTGCGCGCAAGCCCCAGAAAGACAGCTGGGGACAGGGGCGCTGCGTACTGTTCAATGAGACCCATAATGTGGTTGTAACTGTCTTCCTCATACTGCGAGAACACGGCCGGCAGATCCAGCTCCTCATATAATGCCTTCACTCAGGCCACCTTCTCAGCCTACTTCTGCCCGTAATTTTCCTTCAGGATCTGGTGCTGTTCCGGAGTGGGCTGTTTCAGACACTGGACCACCAGCCAGCTGCATTTGTTGTCCTGGATGTCAGTGCCAACTTTGCCAGTCACACTGGGGTCCCCAAAGAGGTCAAGGTAATCATCCTGAGTCTGAAAGAACTCTCCCATCTCCAACAGGATCTTCTTGGCATTGGCATGCTCCTTCTCGCCATCAACTCCTGCCGTGTACATGGCTGCAGCTATAGGAAGGTAGAAGGAGTAGAAAGCCATCTTGTACTTGACAATAGATGTGTACCTCTTTTCAGTGAATCTGCCAAGATCCACATTGCCCTGGGGGGCTGTGATGAGGTCCAGGGTCTGCCCAATCTCAGTCTGATAGGAACTCTGCAGGAAGAGCTCAATCAGGTTCAGGTAATAGGGCTGCTCCCGGCAGTAGAGCTTCAGCAGGCAATAGATACATGCTTCCAGAAGGATAGCACCATTGATGGCATCCAAACCCACGCCTGGCTTCTGATACCAGCAGAGATGTCCCCAGCGGGTGAGGGATGAATCCATGATGTCATCTGCCACCAGGAAGAAAGCTTGTAGCAGTTCCACACACCAGCCCATAGTCAGGGCCCGCTGGAGACTATCAGCATCCTGTTTCCTTGGCTCCACCAGCTCCTGGAATGCTACTAGAACTGTCAAACCCCGGTGATACTTGCCTCCAATGGAGTTGTATTTCAGGACTCCTTGAGCCGGGCAATAGCATCTCCTGTCTCTGGGTGCCCCATCTCATATTCAGCACCCTAACAATCTGGGAGAAGTGCTGAATGAACGAAATCCTGCTTTTCTTGGACATAAACATCTGATTTCTGGTCTCCATTCATTCTGAGGGAGGAGCAAAGGGCTCTGTTCCTGGATGCGGGTTCCTGCCCCAAAGGAGCTTTTTAATAGTGGTTCAACAGAAGTACACAAAAAACACTAAGTGGCCAAAAAATACTAGGTGGTTGAAAACAAGCTAAAATACTACAAGTTAAAATAATTCTGAAATGGCAAAAAGACCCCAGGAAGATTAAGTGAGGGTAGAAGCTCAATTAATCCATGGATGAGTTTATCTAGGATTACTGATATTATATATTTTTTAAAAGGCATGGGTGGGTGAGTATGTGCCCATGTTCACATTGTCTGGGGGGAAAGGGTTCTAGGAGGCCAAAATTTTTACTGAGTCTGAACAAAAGAAAGATTAAACCCCCATTATATTATTCAGTATTTATTTTAGGTGTAAAACTGTAAAGGATATTACAGAGGAAAACATCAAAAAGATTAAGCGACAGAAACATTTCAAACTTCTTTTAGTTGAAAATGTCAACTGGAAAATACTCAAATGGGGGTCAGTGAGGATCATTTGAAAAAATTATGACACACGACTATTAGCGCTAATATAAAAATGGTCATAGAAAATTTCTAAATGCAATAGAAAATTATAACAAGTAAAAAGCAGAAAGTGAATAACTAATAAAACTTTTAAAACTTCAACCCCAATTGTAATCAAAGAAACTCAAATTTAAATAGTGAAGTATCTTTTTTCTTTTTTGGGGTCTACTAATTTGACAAATACATAAATAAATACTGAATGTTAAAAGGATGTAGTTATGGCAAACGTACAATGCTGGTGATAGGATGAATTTAGTCTTTCTGGTGGTGATTTGGCAATGTTTCAATCCCTTATCAATGAATCTATCTAAAGAAAATAATCAAAACATCAAAAGCTTATGGACAAAGTTTTACATTAGAACATTATGTTCAAAACTTGGAAATGGCCTATATGTTACACAATAGGAATATGATTGGATACATTTTTGAACCTTTATTAAATAAATTATTAAATCTATTATTATTAAATGACTTGGGAATTACAAAAATATTAAGTAAAAAGTAAAATATAAAATTATTTCTATATTATAATCTTAATTTTAAAAACAGAGTTGAGGTTAAGACTGTGAGCCCTAGGGTGTCACTATTTGCCTTCACAAATCCTATCTTCTCCACTTATTAACTGTGTAATCTGGACCCTATTACCTAATTTCTTTGAGACTCATCTATAAAATAGAGATAATCAGAGTAGTACAATGTTTATAACAAAGTAAACACTCAATAAATACTATCTCCTAGCTGCAAGCAGCAGCACTAGCACTTGTGAGCATAAGGAAGAGAGACTAGATAGAATCATATGAGGTTATAGGTGGCTATCTCTGGATACTGAGATTATGGGGGGGTTATATTCATTTTAATTCCCTTTTTTAAAATAACCATAAAATTATGTTAAATGAATTATAAAATATAACCAGAATAAACATGGTATACTTAATCTAAGGAATTTCATATCTTCTATAGGAATTAATTTGCTCCAAAGGTTAAATAATAGAAATATACTTCTTAGGAATGTTAGTAGATAAAAGTAAAACCATCAATTATAATATACAGTATTCATTATTTTACTTACAGAGTCGCCTGTCTTGGCTGAGACAAAGTGGCTACTAAAACCGTTTTCCTGGCAAAACCGTAAGTGTTTTTCAGGTTTTATTGTTCGCATATGCTCCAAATCAACTAGAAAGGTGTTAAAGAGAGAAAAGAATTCAATATTAGAGTCAATAAAAACATTTTTAACATGTTAAAATTTGACTTGCTTTCCAGTATTATATTCCAGCTTAGACACTAACTGTATAATCTTGGGCAATTTATTAAACCTCTGTATGCCTCAGTTTCCACATCTATAAACTGGGAATAATAAATATGCTTATTTTGTACAGAGTGATTTGATAATTAATCTATGTATAATGCACAATGATCAGCATATAAGTGCTACAAAAAACTGTGAGCTATCATCATTCTCTGTATAAGTTCAGGCACACTGATGATGCTTAACAAAGATCTACTTAATATAGTACATTTAAACATAGTGATTAATTGAAGGCAAGGTGTACTTACCCAAGCATATTTGGTTTGAAACAGTTGAATTACTTTAATAATAATTAGCTCTATAATCTCTATAGGCTTGAATGTTAACACAAATATATAATTTTCTGCTTAACAGATCAATATTACATTGTGTGTTTACATTAATTTATAGCCATAGTCTAATTTCACAAAGACATAGATCAGTTGGTTTTCATCTAGAATATCCATTTTGAGAGTAAGGGGCAAAGATATATTTCCTTGAATAGTAGTAGGTGCTTTAAAGCAAAGCACCTACTGGTTTTATCTGGCACAGTCCATTTTTCCAAATGTGATCTTTTATTTAACAGTTTCTCTTTTTACAACACTACAGACCCTATAAGCGTGTTGATTCAATGCCATCAAATTATAAGGCAAATATATGCACAGGATTTAAGGACAACTAGGCTCTTTGAGTCAATATAGGAAAAAAAACTTAAACTGATTTCCTGAGGAAGGACCCAACTGACTTGTAAAAACTTGTAAATTTGCAAATCTAGTAGGCCTACATAATAGTGCCAATTGATTATCAACTAAAAAATGCACTCATGCTACATAAAAGCCTTTATTTAAAATTATATTGAAAGTTCAGTTTGTAGGCTCAAGGGTTCTCTCTCTAGGAGATTTTTTTTTAATCTAATGGGGTATTCCTAAGCCCCATTTATATTGCTTACCTTGGAAAATATGAAGTTTTTATTTATTTTATTTTTTTGAGACAGAGTCTCATACTGTTGCCCAGGCTGGAATGCAATGGTGTGATATCAGCTCACTGCAACCTCTGCTTCCCAGGTTCAAGCAATTCTGCCTCAGCCTCCTGAGTAGCTGGGATTACAGGCATCCGCCACCAATCTCCACTAATTTTTTTTGTATTTTTAGTAGAGGCGGGGTTTCACTATGTTGGCCCGGCTGGTCTAAAATTCCTGACCTCGTGATCCGCTCACCTCGGCCTCCCAAAGTGCTGGGATTACAGGTCAGCCACTGCGCTGGCCTTTTTTTTTTTTTTTTTTTTTTTTTTTTTTTGCCCTTATTTTTTTTTTTTTTTTTTTTTTTTTTTTCCTTTTCTGGCCACAGTTACTGTTCCTTAAATATCACTGACTCCTTATTTACAAGAACAGGCCATGAAATGTTCAGATACCACAGGCATCAGGTTGCGGAAGACTAAAATACTAAGCTATTAGCACTGACACTTGTATATCCCATTTATCATAATATTGAAGCTAAAATACATTTCTATTTCAACAAGAGTTAAGAATGAATCATCTTACCAGGAAAAATTCCCATTGAAATCACAATCCATTTAAAAAATAAATAAATAAAAGTTGTGTCATTTAATGTGTGTGTGCACTTGTTTTTTCTTTTTTTTTTTTTTCTCCAGGCAAGAACTTTAATAAATTGACCTGTTACCGACAACATAAAAAACCAGTATAATATATACAAAATTATTTTTTCAGGAGAAAATTTATCATGATTTATCATATTGGCAACAGAAGACATCCTACCAACCTCCAAATGGCCAGCATAGTTTATCCACCCTGTGACAGGCCCACTGGGAATGTAGTGAACATGCCTATACCTCAGCACAAAGTCCCCTTTCCCTGAGAAATGTACACAAGGAGAGATGAAGAGCGTGTACCCAAAAGGAAGAGGGAGAGGCTGGGGACCTTGTGTCCCGAGCTTGGAACTTCAGGGGGATGACCGGCCAGTACTTGGGCTGCTTTCAGTCACAGTGCTTGTCAAAGCTCAGCTGCACTGCAGCCTCCATGGCCTGGATCTTGGCAGCGCTGTCCCCATACAAACGCTTCATCTCAGCCTGGCGCCGCTCACCTGGCCTCTCAGTTGGGGCCTCTACCGACCGGGGGATGTTGCAGTACAGGTCATGGTCAGCGTTCACATAGCTCTCCAGGCGCTCCGCATCCAGCTGCTACTGCCTCCGTCGTTCTTCTCTGTGCCTCTCGGTCTCTGCAAAGTACTGGCGGAGCTCTTCGGTGATTACCATATTGCTCAGGTCACATTCTATCTCTGCATCTGACTCGGTCTCCATCTCTTCCTCTTTGGACAAAGCTTGGTCTTCTCTTGTGGATGCCTGGATCCTACTGCTGTCATGTGGATTCTGCCCAGACCCTCTGAAATGTGAAGAACTGCAGGGGGAGTCCTGCCAGGCCACATGATCATCATAGAAAGACTGAGGATATGCAGCTTGGATACTGTAAGAGCTTTGGGGAAGAAGTACAGGAGGGAAGTACCATGGAACACTGAAATAGGATTCCACGGCCTTCCTGTAGGCATTCTGGTGGCTGTGCATCCAAGCCATTGCTTGATGATAATGTTGCCAGTATCTTGCATATACCGGATGAGAATACCAAGGCCTGGTAGCTTTCAACGTTGATGCCTTCATCGCTGCCATCTCTGATTGTGAAAATCCAAATGGGCACCGAAACTCATGGGCTCACAGCTTGCAGATCCTGGGCGGTGGCCAAGCAGGGGCCAAATTTTTCTTGGAGACAGAGGGGGAGTGGGGGACCGGAGGGGGGCGGCTGTTGCCGGGGTGCGCACTTGTTTTTTCTAATGGTTTATTATTTTTTCTTTCTCTTTCTCTCTCCTTCCTTCCAAATCCCCATCTATCATTTACTACTCAAACAAAAGTTTTTCCTAACAAATATAACCATGAAAAAACTAGTAGTACCATTGGTCAATTTAAAAAAAAAAAAAAAGATTTATTCTACAAACATTTATTGAGCATCTATTACATGCCAGGTATTGTGGTAGGCAGTGATATGCTTTGACTGTGTCCCCACTCAAATCTCATCTTGAAATGTAGCTCCCATAATCCCCATGAGTCATGGGAGGGACCTGGTGGGAGGTAATTGAATCATGGGGACAGGTTTTCCTGTGCTGTTCTCATGATAGTAAATTAGTTTTCATGAAATCTAACAGTTTTATAAAGGGCAGTCGCCTGCACATGCCCTCTTGCCTGCTGCCAATGTAAGATGTACCTGTGCTTCCACAGATTTTAGCCCTAAGGGAACTGTCAGAACTGAAAGCTGCAGGGCAGTCTTGCCTATCACACAGGGCTAGTCCAAACCTGAGCACCCCTTGGTCTGCTGGCCTCTCCTGGAGCCCCAGCCTGGCCACACTTACTTGCAGTACAGTGTTGGATGCACTGGGGCCCCACATTATACTCCTACATTGGGGGACTGTACCTGACTGGTGGAGAGTAGTGCTCACGGCCATGCACCAGCCTGCCTGCTCCCTCACTCCACTGCAGCCTGACAGCCCCACAACCTCCAGGGCCCCACTCCTGCACCAACATTGCCAAAAGAGTGAAACTAGGCAGGGAGAACAATGGACATCCCCAACCTAAGCAGCCATCCCAGCCTGAGTGATCATGCACAGAGAGTACACACAGACCTGTACCTGGCAGCACCCCACCCCATGCTAAAACCACCACCAGCACCATCGTGGGCACAGTCACCAGCAGGGGCCCTGTGTTCCTCAAAAGCCATACTGCCTCTGCTGCTGCTGTAAATACCCGCAGGGAGGCAGGCATCTGCTGGTACCCTGCTGCAGTTAATGAGTGTGCACTCCACCATGCTGCTGTTGCTGCTGCTAGCACATGCAAATGAGGACAAATCCCACTGCTGCTGCCATAAGAAACACTTTGGCTAGTACCACCCATTGAAGTATAGTGACCAGTGGTCCAGGAATACCTTGGTCCCACCAAAGCCATGGGTTCCTAACCTTGAGGAGTCAGAGAACTAAGTTGAGGCTGGATACAAGTCCCCCAGATTTAGAGCATGCAGTCCAGGAGTTGGGAGCTGAGGCTTGGCCCCC